CCCTCCTCCTCCTCCTCCTCCTCCTCCTCCTCCTCCTCCTCCTCCTCCTCCTCCCTCGTCCTCCACCTCCGTCGTCGTCGTGCTCTCGCTAGGTGGAAGGTAGTGTCAACTACATCCCACGCTTGCTCCTCTCGGTGGAGACATCGAGTCTGCGAGCAGAAACGAAGCAAATATACCGAAAAATCGTTATTAAATCGTTATTAATAAAATTATTAACATGGTAAACATTAACAAATTCATATCAACAATATCGATATCTTTTTTCTCAATTTTTCTCTTTTATTCCTACGTTTTCATTTGGTAAAAATTCGTAAGAAATATTGAGACACACATACTTTTGCATAACTACATCTGTGCGAAAAAAATGAAGAATTTTGAAGTTTAAATGAATACGTAAGTTTTCTATTAGCGAGAAATAAAATCTGTGCGGTCCAAGATTAATTTCTAGCGGCCCTTCTGTCGAGATACCACTATCCATTCGACACAAGTGGCTCGCATCTTGTCTCGGACGACCTGTCTTAATCCTCCGCCGTCATCGCCGTGCACCGAGAGTCACCCCAGTGGCGGTAAAGAAGAAAAAAGGAGGAAAAAAATAAAAGAAGAGAGGAGAAAGTTCTCCTTTGTCGTTTTCTTCGGACGCGCGACGCGGACCTACTACAGTCGGTCGAATCGCGAAAAGCGCAACCAATGCCGCGGGGCTTTCGTTCCGTTTCCGCTCCTGAATCCGCGCAAGAGGCTTTGCACTTCTCTTCTCTCCCGACTGCTACTTCGCACTAACGAGCTACTTATTCGCCACTCACGCGTAAACCAGACGCGCACCCCAAATGCGCCTTAAATGCATCAAGCGCTCGTACTTCCGTTTCCGCACGTATATGCACGACTGTAATCGCGTTTACTCCGCGATTCCCGCGTGTGTCAGTATCGTACACGTCGCTTATCAGAGACTCGAGAAAATGGATTATCGACGATCAGGCAGTTGACCTTGTTTTCCCACGTCTAACACGCGATAACGATGATCTCTCGGATCTTAATTTCGCGGGAAATGTCAGCCGTATCCAGCAATCTCTCGTAGATTTCTTTCGCACGGATAAAAAGTCCACGTACGGCGCTCCCAGACTCCCTCGACATTGCATTTTTTTTTTTTCCGTCAACGAGATTTGCTCCGTCCCGTCCCGTTTAAAAATTCGGAAGCGAGAATTAACTTTGGAACGCGTATGCGAAGAAGAACGCGAGCGTACGCGAGATCTCTCGGTGTAAACAGCGCGGAAGACGTAAAAGTTTCGGACTTGTTATCGTCTGGAATCGCACAATTCGATCGCGTTTCCTCCTCTCGAAGACGCGATGCCAATTCGCGACGGCGAAGGGCGGTGGCGCTCCAATTACAAACGTATTTCACTTGTCCGCTTAAACGCGCGCACCTACCCCGCGCCGCGCCGCGCGCTTCGGCCTTAATACGCGCAGGAAATTTTGCGAGTGTCACGAATTAGATTCGCCTGTGCAGCGGTGCATCCTGGAAAGGTCCTGTCGTCAAGTCAGTTAATTTGTACAATTAGCTGACATCTCTAGCGCAGGCGGATGATGAAGTACGGAGACGCGCGCGCGGCAAATAAAGTACGTTTATATCTTAATCTAAATAATCTAAATAATTTCCCTTAGCATCTCAATGATCAAAGATGCTTACATGAAAGACTTAAAAAATTACATTTCTTCTGTCTAATTCGATTAACGCTCCGTTTTATTTCTCGACAAGAATATCGAAACGTATTAGCTTCATGTTCGCCGGAAGGAGAGGAAATTCGCGAATTTGAGCCTCGTGGATGAGAATCGGTAAAGCGAAGTTCATCCTTCATTTAATTTCGGATGGATTTTGCTATAATAAATCGTTCTTGTGGACTTAAAGTTTAGCTCCAAATTAAAAGCGGCTCAGAAATTCTCGACGATCCGCCTCCCGATTCTCCGGGCCTTTTTCCGGATCGAAGAATTCCTTTGGGGAAATCCCGCGAATCCTGTCTTTATCGTGTAGGAACAGCGGGTACGGCATGCTCGAGGAGGAAGTTAACGTACTCGATAACTGCCATAATTGCGACAGATTCCTCATCGAATGCGGCCAGTTCGATATCCCTGGCGAGATGGTCGAGCTGCTGCTGCTGCTGCTGCTGCTGCTGCTGCGGCAAGGGCGTGGAAGGATGCATGTTGCGCCAGGTGTGCAACGCGATTACCTCCCCGTTAAGTGCGCATGGCATGCTCGATGCCTGTAATTATAGAAACGCCAGAGATATTTAGATCTTTTCGCGAAAATGCCGCGGGAGAGTATTTCGATAGCGTCAAA